CTGGCCTTCAACATTTTAGGTTAATTTTAGTGTTTTCTGTTCTAACTTTGATTAAATTAATGGTACTCTTTCTGTCCTTTTAAGATCGTCTCATCTTTTTTTTGGTCCACCCCACTAAGACTATCCAATACCAATTTTGGTAATGTTTGTGTGGTTTCTAAATCATTCTTACTCTATCAATTCAAAATCAACCATATAAATCCACTTTTCTTAATAAACACACCACCTCCTCTTGTACCAAACGTCCAAACTTAGTGGGATAGAGGTAGTATTATTTATGCTCTGGTAAATATTTTTTTAGGTTTTAGTTTTATGTAATCTTGCCCACACTAAGTAAAAGTTCTGGAATCTGGATACGCCACTCCTGGATAGTCACTTGAATTCATTATTGATCAAAATCTTGAACTAGAGTTCATCATCATAGCCGCATGATATTCCGTGCAAATGGGAGATTTCTATTGGGGTTGCGGAGCTTAGTAAATTAGTTTGTAATATGCTGCCGATGATGATGATGATGTTAGCCCTTGTTTACGTTGAGGGCTTTGTAGTGGAGGGGAGGAAAGCTGAGTAGTGGTGTGTTTGGGTGGAGGAGAAAGGGGAAGACAAATAGCCATATAATACTCCAATCTGCGCATATTGGGGGAGTCACTTTTTGTGAATTTCATTTCACCTTTAATCACAATTGTTCTACCTTATTATTATTATATGTATCAAATCAGGATGAATTGAATAACTATACAATTTTTTTACATTTTAAAAATTCCAGTTCCTTCGACTCTGTTGAACAATACATCATTTTTAAGGACTTCCATTCCTCGCCTCCCCCCATTTATCTCCCACTTCTACCTGCTTTAACTGAACTAAGGGGTTATTTATATTGTGAAGGGATTTTCCATGTCATTGTCATCCCATCATGACTGTTAATGCTAAGGTGACTATTTCAGGCTGGTGAGAAGAAAAGGAAGAATAGAAAAAGGGGCCTGTTCTTTAACAAGTAAGGAAAACAAGCAATAAGGAGCTTATTCATTGTGTAGTGCATATAAATCGAGGCTCTGTAGTATTCACAGCAATATTTTAGTTACCAACCAATTAAGTATATTTTTGTTTGTTTGGTTGGGTGTGTGCATCCCTCTTCCTCTCTACTTTGTCATATCTGATTGGCTTATAGCATCCATCTCTAGCCACCACAAAAATGAAAAAAGTATCTGTAAAGTTTGATGTATAGAAAGTTCAGTGAAAGCCATTGTAACTGCCAAATTTAGTTAACTTTCTGCTGTCTTAGATGAAGCATGAACCTATTTCGGTCTTCTTGGGCTTGGATTTGGTCAAGTGTGTCATTTCCTTCTTGTGGTAAACGATGTTTGGGCCTTGGGGAGTTGGGGATAAGCTCAATTGGTAGAAGGAACATTTAGTTTTGCGGCATCTTAGCCTCTCGATTCTAAGAGCGTAGTGATTTAGCTTTTATTTGCTGCGTGATAAATATGTTTGGCAAGATGCCTCTCGATTCTAAGAGCGTAGTGATTTAGCTTTTATTTGCTGCGTGATAAATATGTTTGGCAATTCTTTTTATCAATGCATCAAGATGTAACAACAAACAACCACTCCGTAAGTCCGTATATGTTTAATGTTCTTAGCAGATGCATAAAAAAGTGACCAGCTCCCGAGTGATGTATTTCAGATTTTCAGTGTTTAAAATTAGGGAAAACTGTCAAATAGGTTCTCGAACTTTCATAAAAAGGTCAATTAAGTCCTACTATAGGAGGTTTTGTCCGGCCGTCGTGATTTCGGGTAGTTGCCGGTGGAATTTTTTGATGAAATTTTTTGAGCATCTTATTCACCAAGACTAGTTTACTCATACCAAATTTCAGCTATAAATTCAATCGGGAACACATTCAAATTAATTGGAGAATTAATTTGAATGCGCTCCCGATTAAATTTTTAGCTGAAATTTGGTATGAGTAAACTAGGTTTGATGAATAAAATGCTTAAAAAATTTCATCAAAAAATTTCACCGGGAACCGCCCCAAATCGCGATGACCGGACAGAGTCCCCTATAGAAGGACTTAATTGACTTTTTTATGAAAGTTCGAAGACCTATTAGACAGTTTTTCCTTAAAAATTTTTGGTGGACTCGGTTCGGGCCGCCCGGCCCGGAATCGGCCCGGTACTGTTTAGAACCGGCCTGGCCCCGGAAAGCGGTTCCGGACCTTGAAAAAGGCAAACTGGGCTGATCTAGGCCCGGTTCAGGCCTATTTTGTTGTTTGTTTTTTGGATTTGGGCTAAGTTTAGTTGAGCTGAGTTGGGTGTTTCCGAGGGGTTAGGGAGTTGGGTTCAAAATCTCAAATAAATAAGAAAGCAAAAAAAAAAAAATGGAACCCGCTAGGCTCAGGCTCGGATTGGCCTCGACCCGAAACTGGTAGACTCTGGGGCGGGGCTCTGGGCCTTTCCCATAACCCTCCAAGCTCGGCCTGCCGAAGCCCGAACTAGTCAGGGACTCGGACCGGGTCAGGCCTAGGCCCGGCCGGGCTTTTGATTTTTGGTAGAAAGCTTGGGACTGGCCCGGGTTACCACCGGGTACGGGCCGAGTCCATTTTTTTTTTCTTTTCTTATTAACTCCCGACTCCCATCCCCCCTACCCCGCCCCCCAAACCCTCCCTAAACACCCAGCCCAACTCAGGAAAAAGTCCAAAACAATGAAAAAGCCAAAAAAAAGAAGGCCCGAACCAAGCCCGGGCCCGCCCTGGCCGGTTCCAAAGAAGGGGGTGAACCGGGGCTGCCCCACCCTAACCCCCGAGACCGGGCCTAGGCCCGGAACCAAAACCGGTACACCGGGTCCGGCCTGGCCCACTAAGTAGCGGGCCGGGCTGGTTCGTGGGTCGGGCGGCCTGAACCGGGTCCAACGCTAGTTCGAACCGGACTTGGCCCAGTCCACCCATAGGCTCCAAGTCTGGTAAAACCAGTCCCGATATTGGCTCGGTTATATATCGGGACTAGGTCGGTTTGGGCTACCCGATCGGGCTTCGGGTCAGGTCCGGGTTGGGTTGGGCTTAATAATTTTTTTAAAGCTTATTCACAAGTGCTACCAAAAAATTCAATGTATATTTATTGAAATATGAAGTACAATTAATAATATAGTTAATATCCTCTTAAAAAAATGGGAAAATATACTTTGCGTCTTGTTGGCTTTTAATTTTGCATACTCCATGGGGTGTGTTGCCTTTAAATGCCTTTGAGCGTCGTTGTATCCTCGCAAAATCCCCAAGTTTTTTTTTGTTACAATGGTAGCGAGTTGTCCACCACTTCTCACTTGTTTCGTTCCATTTTGTGTAATTACTTTTCATAAAAAGAAATTCACCTTGCTTATCGGGTTGGGATGAATCAGGCTTGCCCTCGTCGGGTGTTTTCTTGTAGGGGGTTTCCTCATTGCCTTGTACCTCTTCGGTTGTCGTTGGATCCTCATCTTCGGCGTCGTACATTGCATTTCTCCGATCGTTATTTGTGTCAGAATCATCTCGGCTTTGAGAAGAAGACCCGATGTGCCCTTTACCTTTGCCTCGTAAATCAGGATGGTTCTTCGCAATCTCCTTTTAGTTGCGTTAGAGGTTACCCATATTTATACCTCGTTTCATCTTAAAATGCAACAAATATTAATATTAACTTTGAGTAACTAAAATGTAAGTAATTTGTAACTAAAATATAACTGAAATATGACTTTATGTAAGAAAATATTAGTTTAATGTAACTCAAAGGTAAGTAATTTGTAACAAATTGATATTTGTGAGTACAATTAAACTGTAACTAATGTTCATGAAAAATCTAACTAATAGGATAAATGTATGAATTTATAATAATAAGCAATGGGAGTGTAAGTGTGTAAGTAATAGGATAAATTTAACTAATGTTAATAAAAGTGTAGCTAATATGATAAATGTATTAATGTATATTAATTAATGAAAGTGTAACTAATAGGATAAATTTAACTAATATTAATGAATATTTGTTAAACTATAAACTATAAAGAAAGAATGGCATGGAATTTACTCTCCATCTTTCATTGGAAAAATATATGACCATTTTTGGTTTTGACACAAAACTGATTCTCTCGTAATAACAACAGCACCTTCCCGTCACATCTGCTTCTTTCGTACATCTCTGCATCTCCATCGACGTTCCCCGCAAGCTTGTGCTCTCCATTGCACCAATCTCGTTCATCCGTCTCTGGCCGCCTCTCTCACCGCAAAGTGTGCCTCTCACCGGCGAACTAAATGTGAGAAGCGGAGAGGCAGAGTAGCATTACAACCATTGCCGATGCAGACAAAGGCCATTGTTCGATTAATGTGACATTAACGTCGATTGAGGTTACAGGGACGGGTGGGCGCCACTGATTAGCTACTGCGACGGGTGGGCGGCGCTGATTAAGCTATTGAGATGGGTGGGCGGCAGCAAGGTTAATGGGGCGGGCGCCAGTTAGGGTTTATTTATTCTTCATTGATGTTTGAAATCTAGGGTTGTCGGTTGTTTTGTGGTGATTTCACTGACCGCTGAGGGCGCTGAGCAGCACGGGAGGTCGCTAGGATGGGATGTTTCGCCAGCTAGCGCATTGGCGGCGCTTGGCTGAGCTGATCGGGGCTCGAATTAGGGGATGCACTGGCTGGCCATAGCAGGAGGTGGGGAGGGCGGCTGGGGGCAGGTCAGGGGCAAGGGGATGAGGAGGGGCAGTGGTGGCGGGATAGGCGGGGTGGCAGGTGGTGGTGGTAACTAGCAGCCGTGGAGGTCTTTGTTTATAGGATAGAGTCGACGGAAAATCATCTGGCGAGCACAGTGACACGTTTCATGATGACAGTGACATATGAAAGTGACATAAAACCGGTAGTGACATTCAAAAAGTGACATAAACCGGTGCCACAGCTGGCCAATTGCTTGACAGTCTGCCGTCTGCTTCTTACGTCACACTAAAGACTTCAATTCAGGTCAATATGCTAACTCAAGAAGTGCAATTTGCGAAATGTCACTGAAAGATGAGAGAGAATCTCCCACATCTCACTAAAACTTCAGCGATATCTTGAACACCCAAAATGGATTTCCGGCGATACCCACGCCGGAATCCTCAAAATTCATCCTACGACACTAGCTACAATAAGGAACGGTACCCTTCATCAACCAAATACTATTCTAAGCAATGCTATTCTGGATACAGTAATCAAGGATGCGGTCTCCATGGAGCCGGTGAGGATACAATTGCAGCTGGGAATCAACACCAATATTTCAATCAAGATTGGTACCCTAAAGGAGAAGTATGGAACCCAGACCACTCGGTGAGGGAACGACAGGTCTGGGATACGAACTTTACTGGACGACGAGTACAATACCATAGAACTTGTCAGATTCGGAACAAACAACCTGAATGGCATTCAGGAACTTTGCTGAAGGAACGTCAGGATCTGAAAAGGTATTCCACCGCCTTTCCAAATCAAACCCACACTCTCTACGCAGAGAAGCCAGAGAGCTCCTGGTGCACAGTCCATCACAAACGCAGGGGTTTCTTCAATCACCGCTCAACCTCACACCAACACCCCTATCCAGAAATAACATGGTCAGTTCGTAACTCTAATCGATATAAATTATTATATTTGGATGAGGAGCCAGCTATACCATCTCAACACACACATGCTAAAGACCACCAACATCATCCGTACAATCGATCTACCTGCTATCGAAGTTACAAAGAAAAACCAAAATGCCAAATCCCAAAATTTGACCGTCATAGATCGGTCCGAGACGGCCCTAATCACCGGTCAAAAGGACACGGTCATTCTCAATCTGCTCTCTTATCCCCTACTGTAACCGGCGATATTGTCCGGGGAAGGGCGACATCCCCACAATCACTGATACCTTCATTTGCGCCAGAGGATACGACTGCGGACCTTGTTACAGTAACGCCCAATACAACTTGACCAGTGGGAAGAACGGCGGCCGGTAAGCAGGCAGCTGCTACAACGACAGATTCAATCGCTAAAACTGTTTCAGTGGGGTCCTTAGCGGTGGTTGCAGATTGGAGAAGCCAGAACACCCATCCTCCTCAGGGCCAGGCCCTGCGACCGACAACCTGTATGACGTTGAGACCCAAAGGCCAGGATCCCTCCAAATTGTCACATGGGCAGACGTGGTCAGGTCCAATACGGACCCAGAAGAAATAATGACTGCCTCCCCAAATGATTTATCCGAAAAATGAAATGAAACGTTATCACATGGGCAGACGTGGTAAGGTCCAATACAGACCCAGAAGAAATGAGAACCGTTATATGGGATATCCAAATAATGAAATGAGAACGCAATACATTAATGGATATTGTTTTTTTGGAATAAAATGACTTATATTAAATAATCAAGATTCAGGCAATATACAAAAAAGCAAAAGTCTCTTTCCGACTGTCTGCCCTCGAATCAGACTAATACTCTATCACCTCCAACAAAAATATGACCCGCTGATCATATAATGGGCTTAACTGAGCTAATGACGGGCACAATAGACACTTCATCACCCAACCTAAATTCTAGAGTTCTGCTACTAGAAATAAAGAAAACAACCAAGACAACATTCAGTTCAAACCCAAAAATAAAAATAAGAGCAAGATAATTGATGTGTGTTTTCTCGCACTTAAAATAGATTGTAATATAGTGGTGTAAGTACGAGTATCGTCTCCACAGGGACGGACAAAAGGGAATTAAAGATTAACTAAACTTTAGCGATTAAAAAGAAATAAAAATAAATAAATGCAAGTGTGCGAGATTGATTGGTTGAATTAAAATTAAAACTAATGCTAATGAGCGATAAAAATAAAAGATTGGTTTCTTCTCAATTAACGACGAAGGGAACAGGAATTGATTCCGGGGTAACCAGATTTCTGACAGATCAGGCCTAATTACATGAATTTAATTTAATTGAGCCTAGCTAATCATTACTAAGTTCTTACCGCTCTCGCGGCGTAGAGTACAATAATTTAGGGGACCAGGCTGATCTCTCATGCGACAAGATCCTAAATTATTGCCAAGACGAGCGAGCTTACGGCCCCTTAATCGCTACTAATCTCTTAGCGAACGATTAAGTGTGTGTGAATGTGTCCTAGAACAAATTAGATCTCTCTTAATTCATTCTACATGCAATTGTAATTCTAGCTGCAGTCTAGGTTACAAGAGATATCAATTAAATTATTCAAACACAAATTAAACGGCATTCATGCAATTAAACCGACAAGAATCTAGCCATACATCATGATTAACCCCTTCATCAACCCCAAATCCCTAATTAAACTACTCACAATTCATAATTGAAGAATCAACAGAATTGAGATGAATAGAATAAATTGTCATTAATCAAAAAGATGAACTTACAAATAATCCCAGGGTCTTAGAGTAAACAATCGTAAAAACGCAAGTAAATTCGTCCCTAGGCCTCTCCGTAATGTTCGTAAACATCAAAAAGGGTTAGGGAGGCCTTATTTATAGAAAAAGGATGAAAAATATGAATTTGGGTCGATTTGGGATTCAATTTCGCGTAACCCGGGTCTACGCACGGCGTGCGTACCCCCCACGCACGGCCGTGCGTAGCTGGCAGTAGCTACCTTGCTTTTCTCGCCTCAGACGCACGGTCGTGCGTTCCCCTACGCACGGCGTGCGTAAAACTTCCGAATTTGACAAAACTTTCTTCATGAAAGTTGTAGATAATGAAGTCTTCTATCCACCCCAATTTGCCGAATGTGATTTGAATCATCCAATCAAGAGATATGATCAAAACGGTGGAAGGTGTCTTTCTGAAATCGCAGCAGAGATTATCTGACTTCATCATCTGTTTTCACCTTCTTACTCTCAGATTCTCGCAAAGGTGTCTTCATATGATTTGTAGCCCTTGAAGTGGGCTTTCCTATGGAGCTTGAATCGTGTATATTGGATGTTTCTACAAAGAGATATGCTTGAACGATTGACAGAAGGTCATCCTGATCGTCGTTTTCAAGCTTCATTCATCTTCTTTTGACCCCGTAGCCAATCCTAGAGCTCTTTTTCCTTCAAATCTTCATCGTGAATCTTCCGGAGACCTCCAAAGCTATCAAATCATTCTCAAATGCTTCTCAAATCATCCCGATTGTTCCTCAAGTGCCGGTGCCGGGCTCAAATTCCCTGATTTTGACTACAAACAACACAAAACTCGAACCAACGCCTGGTAAACATAACTTGAGCTAAAATTGAGACTTGCAACACCTTAAAGCTAGGGAAACCATCAAAATACTATTTCAACACACATCAAATGCGTGTCAAAATACGGACTTATCAATAATTAAAATAAATCCAAACTCGAAACATCTTTCAAACACTAATCACATGATTCCTCCACGACGTCGGTTCGGGAGGGGGACGAACATGCAATACTACATCTTCTTCCTCTCTTTCTCCTTATTCATAACATTCTCTGCTACTAAGTAATCAAAAGTGTAGGAGAAGCCAAGTGTTGTACTGGTTAACTATGGACTCCATGATTTCTTCTTTTCGTGTTGAGCAGTTGAAGACGAACCTGCAAACAAAAATAAAGTCTACGCAATCCTCTAACCGTACAAAGTCTATGTCGGACGACAAAAAAGAACGACTAGCGGAAAAACTCTACTTGAGAGAAAGGAGAGTGTTGGTGTAGAAATTTGACAGCTTATTCTACATTCAATAGGCTTGACCACGGCAATAAATGACGCATTTATTGGGTTTAATGCTAGCTAATTATTATAACGGTTTTATGTGTATTATTATAGCTATTAATGTAATTAAAGCAGCAGTTACTTAGAAGGACAGACCGACATTAATGACGACATGACGACGACTTTGAATGTCGTCATAACGGTCGAAACCGTCAACAACGGACAAAAAGACATTGATTGTCCCTCTTATAAGTAGCATCAAACTCAACTGTAATGGAGGCTCCTCATTCGAATTTCACATCAATTTACTTTCTATTTTGCTCACTTGACATCCTTCTTCTTGTTCTTGTCATCTTCTCTACCTTTCTTTTACGAGATCCAATCAATATACAATTTCCTTTTTAATTAGTTTTAGACTTTTAGCTAATCAAAAAAGTACTTAAGGACACAGTGTATAAGAACCACTCCATAAAAGTACTATTTATTTGTTATGCTTTGCATCAATAAAGACATTAAGGGAGTGTATGCAAGTTGCAACTGCTTAAAAAAGCGTTTCTCGTCTTTTGACTTAAAAAGCTAAAATTAGGACACGTTTACTTCACAGGTTATTAAACGGTGTTTATTAAGACCCACGTTAATAAGCGACGCATAAACTAAGTAATGTTTATAAGATCATGTTTACTTCAAAGGGTTTAAAACACCGTTTAACATTAGAATGTCCAAAATAACCCTATACATATATAGACACACAAACATTCATAACACAAGTATATAATATAATATGTGGGGTCACCTCGTATGTGTACCCATACCCTTAACCCCTACACCGCTCTATACCCCGTACCACCACCCCTGCCCTACACCCTACACCCTACCCCCAATTCCACACCCTTGACCCCTACCCCTACTCGTAAGGGTGAGGCTGGGGTCGGGTCGAGGTAAGGGTAGGTGGTATGGGGTAACGGGGTAGTGTCGGGGTAGGGTAAGAGGGTATGGGTGTGGTAGGAGGTAGGGTAGGGGGTAAGGTACGATGGTTGGGGTGGGGATGGGGGTGGGGTCAAGGTGGTAGGGGTGGGGGTAGGATGGCAGTAGGGTGGGATCGGGATTGGGGTGGGGTAGGTCATTGTAGGGAAAAGGGGTGGGGTGGGGTAATGGTCGGGGGTAAGGGGTAAGGTACGAGGATGTGGTATTGGGTAGGTCGGGGTGGGGTCGAGTGGGGGTAAGGGTGGGGTCGGGGTAGGCGGGGTGGGTAGAGGGTAGCGGGTAGAGGGGTAACAATAGGGCAAGAGCAATGGATAAGGGTAAGGGTAAATTTGGAAACTCAAAAACGTAAAGTGCCGCTTAATTAATACATGAGGGGTGGGGTGGTGGTGGTGGTATGCTTAGGAGTAAAGTGTCAGTTTGGTCCTCGAAATTGCATAAAAGGGGTCAAATAAGTCCTTATATAGAAGATTCTGTTCAGACGTGCCATTTGAGGTGGTTCCCTGTGGAATTGTTTGATAATTTTTTTTGAGCATCTTATTCGTTAAGTCTAGTTTACTCATACCAAATTTCAGCTAAAAATTCAATCGGGAAGGCATTCAAATGAATTCTTGAAGATAACAACGCTTTTAACTGCACAATTATCTTCAAGAATTCATTTGAATGTCTTCCCGATCGAATTTTTATCTGAAATTTGGTATGAGTGAACTAGACTTAACGAATAAGATTCTCAAAAACTTTCATAAAAAAAATCCACCGAGAACTGCTCCAAATGGTGACAGCCGGATAGAATCTCCTATATAAGGACTTATTGTCGTGCACTTTGTCACGGTGCGTCAGAATAAATCGATACTAACACTTATACATAGTATAGGTGAAGTAGAGTTCGTATCCACAGGGAAAGGAATAATTATCTTTTTAATGAAAGAAGTAAATAAAGGGGGGTTTTGGGATTGAGTGATTTAATTTATTTTATACACAAAGATGAACGACTTATATGAGATTAAATTCAAGAATAAAAGGGACTTGGTCTTGTTACTTTCCACTTGTTGATATATTTTAGTCGATCATTGTTATATCTATAGCTTATCCCCTCTCGAATACTCAATCGCGGAGTATCTCCAATTCATCGAGGGTAGTTATTAACAACGACCGTTCATTAATAACCCTTACTATTAATCAAATATAGAACAACGCCGTATACCTATATAATAGTATCATTTAACCTCTTTAACTCCTTGATGAAATCAATTGAGATTGATAACCTCAACACAACGGTTTCGGTTTAACCAACAAAATTAATCCCTCTTAAGTTTATTAAACACGACCGTGCATTAATAAACCAAAGTTACTTACTTGTGAAACCATCAACGATTAACCATCGGTTCATTGATCGTTTCTAGTAATAATTAGTGTCGGAACGTTAACTAATCGTCACTTAGTAACCCTCCAACATTAATATAGAATGAGATTAAGGGAAGAATTAATAATCAAGAAGAGAAAGTAAGAAAATAACTCACAACTTTAATAATCAACAAGTTTCAAGAGCAAAACCAAGAAATGGAAGTTTAGCTCCTCATTTGGAGACTAAACATGCTAGAAAAATATAAAGAAATGCTATTCTAAACTGAGCTTTAAGAGTATATAGGAATTGGTGATTTATTGTGGAGGAAATGAGGTGTATTTATAGGCTTTTTAGGCTTGCAGGGTCGTGTACCCGATCGGGCTGTAAGGGCACTCGATCGGGTACCTGATCGGGTATGTCGGCCACCCGATCGGGTATGGACACTCGATCGTGGTCAAAATCTCCCCTGCATGTTGCCTTGTTCCCGGGTTGATCCGATTTGATTTTTCAGCGACTTACCCGATCGAGTATAGGGCATACTCGACCGGGTACAATACCAAAAATCAGGATCTTCATTTGTTCTTGGAATTTTTGCACCTTCCTTCCACTTGTGATTTTCACCAATGGCCCTAGAGTGATCTTGGACCTGTTTGAGCTCAGAATAAACCTAATATAAACAATTTACAAACATTTTACAAACTAAACTATTACACCAAAAGTGTGTAATTTCCAGAGTAACAATCACTCAAAACTAATCAAAAACACAAAAATAAACATGGAAATTACATGAATGTCACTTATTTGACCCCTTTTATGCAACTTCGAGGACCAAACTGACCCTTTACTCGTATGCTTAGTAAGCGGCACTTTAAGCACATGTTTACTTCACCTCTCTTACTAACCTAACTGTGACTTTAGGAGCGAAGTAAACACCTCCTTAGTATTTTCAAGTGATAACTTGTACTTAAAAAAGCGTTTCTCGACTTTTGTGCGAAAAATGCTTTTTACTTTTTCTATTACACAAAAAGCACTTATTTACCAAACACTACCAATTTTTACTTTTCAAAATCACTTTTTTCTCAAACACTATCAACTTTCACTACTAATCACTTTTCCAAAATCACTTCAAAAAGTGCATTTTTTTTAAGCAAAAGCATTTGCAAACACTCTCTAAGAGCATCCACTATGGGAGGTCATTGGGGATAAAAAAATCCCACTTGATCCTCACTTTGCAAGGTCATGAAGTGATCGATCAAATTGGAGGGTTGAGAATGAGATCTGACAACATTCTTTTGATTAACCAATGAGAGAAAGCCAAAATGGAAAAAGTAGCCACCAACCCCATCAACTATCCCCCACCTCCATAATTTCATTTAGTATTCATTAAATTTAATTTATAGTAAAAAAGAATTATACCAGAAAATTAGTTTTCCCCCATTTATAAATAGACATTAATGAAGGATATGTTTAGTCACTTCGAAATTTACCACTTCTTTCCCTCTTACATCTTATTTTATCTATTTTAGAATATATTTTTCCTCTGAAAATGGATCCAACCCGTTCTCTACCTAGATGCAATGCCAACAATAAATAAATATAGTGGGTGAAATGTGGGTTTTATATTCCCTTTTCAAATTCTATAAATTAATAATGGTGGAATATACCAAAACTATGGAGAAAGAATGTACAAATTTTAAGTGACATAGATCACCATAGTGGGGAAAAAGTATGATAGATTATAGGGAATTAAAGTTTTGGTAGAAAATGATGTGGAGGGAGGGGGGTCAAAACCCATCAACAATTCAACATTGTGGATTCTCTAAGGGAGTGTTTGCAACAGCTTCTGCTTTAAAAAAAGCACTTTTGGAGTGATTTGGAAAAAGTGATTATTTGTAAAAGTTGATAGTGTTTGAGAAAAAAGTGATTTTGAAAAGTAAAAGTTGGTAGTGTTTGGTAAAATAAGTGCTTTTGGTGTATAAAAAGTGGAAAAACACTTTTGACACGAAAGCCAAGAAAAATAAAAAATTGGTAGTGTTTGGTAAATAAGTGCTTTTTTAAGCCAAAAGCTGAGAAGTGCTTTTTTTAAAGTGGTTGCAAACCAACCTTAAGTCGGTTCCCATTTGCATCATTAAAGACATTAAGGGAGTATTTGAAAGTTGCAACTGCTTAAAAAAGTGTTTCTCCGCTTTTGACTTAAAATTATAGATTTAGTATAATTATGTATTACTCTTCTAAATTTTTAATTGCAAAAAAACATTGAACACCCAAATGTTAAGTTTCAAATCTGCCACTGTAGTGAAGTATACACCCCCTAGCTATCTCTTTTTTCTTTTTTTTTTGCATATCAAACTAGTGTGGTGTGGTTTGGTCTGTTCCATTCTGGTCTGATTTGAATTGATCTATGGTCTGGTCTGATAAAAATTTAGTCTCTATATATTTTATAATTATGAAAGCTTGATTTGGTCTAATCTGATCTGTTTAAGTTTATTCCAGTTTGATATATTTGAATCTGGTGTGATTTGTGACTGAAAACAGTCCAAGTAAATACATCTTTACTCCTGGATGCCAAATAAATTTGGTTATTTAAATATGGCAATAAAAATAAAATTATTTAAGTGAAAGGGTATTCATTCAATTTCACATGTGATTGATTAATTAATCTAATACTCCCTCCAATTCTAAACATCACTAAAAAAGAAACACCCATGATGAATTCAAAATCTTTTTCCATGATCGAAAACAAAGAAAAAGTTGAAAGAAAAAGATAGGAGACCGCTAGAGTTTGCTCCATAGTTGCCCCTCTACAAAGACCTGGCCAACTTTTAGAATAATACGCTATTTATATATGGGCTTAAATTGGAGAATGATTTTGGAGCAATAAATCTGGTTTGGAGAGCAAGTGATTGACCGCTGGATCAGTTAAGAGGAGATGAACAATGCGACCATAAGCTGCATCGGTGAGATGAACGCCGTCCCATTGCAGGGCGCGGCCAGGGTTCAGGCATACCTCAGTGCCTGGGGTTCCGCAAGGTCTTGCTATGTCGAAATGATACTCATTAGCGTTACCCTCCTCCCCTCGGGCTCCACAACAAGCTTTCAGAAGCCACTCCTTATCAAATCCATGTAATGAAGGGTTTCGGAGAATTTCCCGGAACGCGCCTTCGTAGTCCGCGTAAACGATCACCACGCCCTGCCCGGCTAGTTCTCGACGGAGCGAGGAAAGGGCGCCTCTAAGGATACGGTCGTGTGTGGAACCGATGCCGTTAAACGATTTCAGGCAACCTAATTCGTCGTACGCGGCAGCTGAATCGGTGGCGCTGGAAGCGAGCGGAAACACTAGGCACCCGGTCGGGAATGGACCGGGTACCAGGATCCGCTTTGCTCCGAGCTCGACCGTCCGAGTGATTCCCCGAATAATCGCATCAACGACGTACGGCACGTAACTTTGAACCTCCTCGGGGGACTTTCCATCACGTAAGAGTGTGTCGTAGTCATTCCCGCCGAATTCCCCGAAAATCACGAGCGATTTCTCGAAGCTTCTCGAACGCTCAATCGATGTTCTGTCACTTCCGTAAGTCGCGTCCAGGTACTTCTCGAACCACTCCAACTGCTTGCTGATGGGCGGCTTGAGTCGGGCTACGGAGTTGACGTTTATCCTCGTGAAGAACTCCTCGTCGCAAGCCGTCGCTCCGCCCACGGCGAAATTGACGCCGTGAGCGAATGTCGCGTTTTTGTTCAAGTAAGGCTCAACGAATGGGAGTCGAAGATGGTCAGCGATGAAATCCACGATGAGGCGGCCGTCTGAGAACCGGCCGGTGGCTTTGTGGAAGTATGTTTCTCCGTACGGGAGGCGGTAGGCGGGGTAGAACATCCTACTGCCGGGAAGGCGCAATAAGTTACCGGTGTCGGAGATGGAATCGCCAAATTGGTAGATCCGTTCGAAGAATGGACTGGGCTGTTGTGGGTAGGAGTTGGCCGCAACGGCGGCGAACGGCAGGAAAAACAGAGCAGCTAAAAGGAATGGAGAATCCATTAGGGAGGCCGCCGTTGAATTGCACAGCGCTGCCCAATACGCACTACATTTTATACTGCTAGTAGTAGTACTATACTTTTTTTTATTAGTAAAGTAGTAGTACTATAATTGAGAAGCATAAACGCACTTACGTACCACTAGCTAGCACAGTTCAGTACTTCAGTCAATCGGTCTGCACTCTCCAGGATGTTACTGGTCCGAGTATTCATATTTTGAAAAGTTTTGAATAATTTGTTTTTTCTTTCTATAGCTTTTGAATAAACTAGGTGAGAACTTCGGTACCTTTCTAATAACAGGGGCATTGTACCTAGCATTCATTTGATTGGACTACATCACTTTATCAATTTTAATTTAGATTTAAATAATTCAACTACTACCTTTTCATTGGTCCATGTAGACAAATGTATGATACCTTATGGATACCATAGAAACTACCATAAAAATAAGGAGTACTAATGTACTATATTTGTTCTTTAAAAGTTGAAATAAGTTTATTACTACCTCCGTCCCAAAAAAACTTTGTCATTTTATAAAATTTGAATCTTGATTTTGATTAGTATAATATTATGAAAGTTATAAACTTTATACTTTTATGAAAATACTTTTAACAAAGAACATTTCCATATAATTTTTGTATTATAAATAATTTCCAATAAAAAGATATAGTTGGTCAAAGTTTTTTGGGACGGAGGTAGTACATTGTACCAACTACCATGAGGTCCATGATTATATGTTTCTTTTACAAATACTTTATCCGTTCCAATTTCTATTCACTTGGTCAGCACAAATCTCTGAATTTCTTGCTTTATATTCGTATATCAAATTTTTATCAAATTTGATTCTGATTTATGCAACTTCGTGAAACTTTTAATTTAATTTTTGATTTTTTTTCCTAAAATAATTTTAGTACGAATATAGATATTTTGTTTTATCGTTGATGAAACATCGTAAACCGGATGGTCTCATTCTAAGTGGCTACTAGAGAGCCGGTGGAGCTTAAAACCAGTAAACCCAGTCATGATGAATTGCGCGTCGCTGCAAATGTGAAGTGCATACCCAATAGGCCAATACTACGTGATAGTACATTTTACATGAGTGGTCAGGTGTACACATTTTGTGTACACAAAATGTGTACACATGTTTATCTTTCATAAAAAAATTGTTTATCACAGACAAATAAAAAATAGTTGCCTGTGACAGACAAATTTTCTGTGAAGGACAGAAATGTGTACATATTTTGTGTATGCAGAATGTGTACATTTTTTCATTTTACATAGAGAAGTAATAGTACATTTGCCTAAATGCTCCACTCTAAACCCTACGCGTGTCAAATTCAAAGGTCTTTCGTGTTTATGGAATGGTAGTAGGTAGGTAAACCAACTCAAATCCGAAACCGACCATGTGGTCATAGTTTTTTCTTTTCGAAAGGTTTGAAAAGGAGAGTTTTTTTTTGCGAATTAAAAAATTATTTACATAAAACAGATCGAGTTAAAAGTATTTACAGATATATTGTTGGACATAATTTGGATTAAACAAAGTCGCCAACCGGGATGACAACTTATAGAGAAAACTATCAGATAGGCCTCGTACTATAGCCAAAACATCAATTAAGCCCTCGCACTTCAAAAACATTCAATTAAACCCTTGAACTCTTTAAAAATGCTCAATTGGGCCGATTAGCCGGTAGCATCTCGGTTTGCCGGTTAACGACCCGCGTGGCAGCCTACGTGGCATTTTTTCTAGAGGACGTGGTATTTTTTTCATTTCTCTTTTCTTTTTCTTTTTTCTTTTTTCTTTTTTTCTTTCCTTTCTCTTTTCTTCTTCTCTTCCCTTTTTCTTCTAGCCCGCCCCAAGTCACACGACCTGCCCTCTTTCTTCTAGCTCGCCCCAAGTCACGACCTTCTGCAAACATGACCGCCGCCACCAGAAGTCCACCACACTTGTGCCGCCGGCGGACTTCACCGCACCCAGATGCACGCCCTTCACTGCAATGCCGCCCTTCACTTTACTTCAGAAATTCGGCGAACTCCAACTCCGAAATCCGGCGAACTCCAACTCCAGCGGCGGCCGCAATCATCAGAGATGGCCGCCGAACTTTCGGGCAGTGGCGAGTGCAGTTACCGGCAGTGAAGGCAAACCTTGAATCCCCCCTATTTGAACAAGCATCTCTGGGATAAAAGAAATTGAAGAAGGAAGATGGCGCATGGCAGTGAGTTCGGTGTGCAGACGCTGGCACAAGGGCGGTGGCCGGCAGTGCTGCTGGGAAGAAGTCCAGAGGGGGGCCTGTACAGAAGAGAAGTCAGAAAGAGGAAAAGAGACGAGGAAAAGAAAGGAGAAAAAAGAAAGAGAAAAGAAAAGGAAAAAAAGGAAAAAAAGGAAAAGAAAAAGAAAAGGGAAATGAAAAAAATGCCACGTAGGCTGCCACGCGGGTCGTTAACCGCAAACCGAGATGCTACCGGCTAATCGGCCCAATTGAGCATTTTTAAAGAGTTCAGGGGTTCAATTGGGTGTTTTTGAAGTGCGAGGGCTTAATTGACGTTTTGGCTATAGTACGAGGGCCTATCTGATAGTTTTCTCCAACTTATAAGTCGCCAACCGGGATGACAACTTATAAGTCGCCAACCGGGATGACAACTTATAAGTTGCCAACCGGGATGACAACTTATAAGTCACCAAACGGTTTGACGAATTATAATTCACCAATCGGGATGACAACATATAAGTCGCCAAACAGTTGTCCCCGGGTTGGAATGTTGAAGCGTTGCTATGAAATGAGACAATTCTGAATATGACTTCTCACAATCTCCAAAAATTTTGTCAATGTCATTTTCCTTGTCCAACCATGTTCGTCTGTAGGAAATGCCACAACTAAGGGTGTAAATGAGCCAATCCGCTCGCGAGCTGCTCGTGGATCGGTCGAGAAAACTTCGACTCGAATAGTTAACAAGCTCAATTCAAGCCTATTTATTTTAGGCTTGTGGCTCATGAGCCGATTCGCAAGCCTTTGTGTCATATTTTATAATTATATATTCCCTCCGTCCCAATTTGTAATATACAATTTGTAAGATATTTATGATGTTTGACTGACGATAAAACAAATTGATCCCTGTAACACTCAAATTAGTTTTAAAAAATAAAATTTACATATTTAGAAACAACATTAAAACCCTACAAAGCCAGCAAAAAGTAATTCAAATTTCATAAAATTTGGATATATAAAGTAAAAGATTAAGAGTGATTTATGATGACCAAGTGAATAGGAAATGTATCTTACAAATTGGGACCGAAGGAGTACTTTTTTTTTTGAAATATGTATTCTAATTAGGACTATTCCATTTTCAATACTTATCACAGAGTATATTATAATAGTAGTAATTACAAAAATAATAACATGTGTGTCGTATTATTATTATAACCACAATCGATCTGTAATAATTATAATATGCACTCTTAATATTTATTGACAGTAAAATAAAGAATAAAAATGTTAGTAAATGAGAGATAAACTATAAATGAGAATGAATAAGTACACATATAATATTTTTAACTCGAGTTCGAGCATCTTATTCAATTTCAAACCTATAAAAATTAATTAGTGAAACTTAACCCGAGCTCGAACCAAGCTCGAATGGAGATCGAGCCGAGCTCGGTTTGAGATCGAGTTCGAATTATTTAACTCGTCCAAGCTGGAGATCGAGCTCGAACTCGTGAATACTTATCAAGCTCAAGCTCAAGCATACCCATGCTCAGGCTCGCCTCAGCTTGACTCGTTTGCACCCCTAGCCACAATGTTTTTAATAAATATGATAATTGCATCGTTTAATTTTGTAAATGACAATGTTTTTTTAGAGGATTGAAAATGTATCAAGCATCACAGTCAAGTAGGATGAAGTCAAATTGGACCAAATAGAGTTGTGGTATTAACAATGCGCGTTTGAATATTTATTCAATTGATTATAGTTATGGATGCTAATTTTAGTTGAATAAGTGCAGTGCCCTGTGCAAAAAGGATCCACAGAATGTGGATATTTCATGATGAAGTACATTAAAGACATCATTAATGATGTCAGTTTGTTGAAGAAGAATGTGAATTGAAGTATTATTATTGTGTTATGGTGTTGTAATTTAATTGGAATGTTAATTTTTTGTTGCATTAAAGTTTTGGGCAGCGGGAGAGTATTCTGAAGAAGATATTTTACAAGTCCGTGAAGAATGGGTTACATATGCTGCCACATAAGATATCTATTGTTTACTCTTATTTAATTATTAGGTTATTGGGATATAAAAAACTGCAGGACCATATTGTTCAGTTGCTATAAGTAATGTTTTCTAGTTTACAACTTTGTTTAAATTTCTTAAATTTATTTTGCACTTGAAATCTATGTTTCCTCTCTGAAAATAAATTTATCATGCTATAAGCTGAATAAGCAAAAGTTGAAAGTTGAGGCTTGACATCTCAAAGCTATACAGTTTATCAACTTTCTCTACACATTCTTTATTAGGACTTGCCGACCTGTGGAAATTTATTGCGGGTAGTCTTTGTTGATTCATTGATATATATCTTGTGACCCCCCCTCCCCTGATATCACTATTAGGCAGGCTTTTGTTAATAATAGATCGATTCCTATTATTGCTGATCAGATTCCTAGGTACTACTCAGATGTCATTAATTCCTGTGCCCCTTGCTTTTCGGATACTAATGATTCTGTCATCTGGCAGCCCGAGGCTAATGGTTGTTTCACGTTTAAGAGTGCCTATGATGTTACTCGTAATAATCTGAATAACTGGGAGGAAGCTAAGTTTGTTCGGAACTCTAGAATTCCTCTTAAAATTTCTTTCTTTCTCTGGAAGTTGCACAATAATCTTTTACCTTTTGAGACCAAACCCCACTCTTTGGGTATTCGTGGCCCCTTCAAATGTCCCTTTTGTAATAACCAGGATACTCTGGATCACTATTTCCTTCACTGTGCAACCACTGATAAAGTTTGGAGGCACTTTGAGGATCTGTTTCAGTTTCGGGAAAGTAGGAATTGTAGTATCCACAATTACCTTAAGAGTTGGTATTTGGATCTCAAGGGACCT